GGGAAGCCTTAAAATCCAGTTTTACGTTTGAATCACCCGGGTGCGAGAGATATCATTCTCTGGGGTGAATCTCTGCTTGCCTCCTCGGAGATTTTTCTTGACACCACTACTGGAGAGATTGTTAGACACAGCACGAGAGAGTGAGAGAATTAACAGTTCACTGCTTGTCTGTTTATACACTCACTTCCGTGAGAAAGATGGCAGCGCAAATGCGTTATCGTTTCTCCAATAATTCCGGCAGAGCTTGACGTGAGTGTATGAAAACATCAATAAAAATGGCTGAAAAACGTATACAAGAGGACAAATCGTGAAATTTTTTCACGATGAAAAAACCCCGGTTTGACGACGATACCGAAAAAGTGGTTGTGAATAGACTGTTTCTATGCACCACCAATGTAGAGCTAGGGGATTATGAGAGGAAATATCAACCAAACCGTTGGTTTACATAAAAAATTTCAATTTTTTACTTCAAATTAACGCATATCTAGATAGAGCTGGAATTAGGGAATAACAGCTTTTGTATACAATTACTTCTCTCGATGATTTCAAGGAATTCAAGGCATGCCCACGCAAACCAACATAACCATTAGGTAGAGGAACTCTTCCCCTACTCGGTGGTAATGTTGATTTGCGTTGGCGAGATCTGACTTTCTAGAAATCATCGAAAGAAGTCATTGTTTACAAAAGCTGTTACGCCCTTATTCCAGCTCTATCAAGATATTAAAATTATACTTCTGAATTCAAAAAAAGGGTTGTAACAGATATGAATAAAACGATCTAACAATCAAGACAAATGTTTTGAACCATCTTAATTTTTTAAATTGGGTTTCATAGTACTTTGAAAGAATTAGTCATTGAATTATAGATGCAAAGTCTGTTCAAGTCGAGGTTCATGTACAGCTTCCAGTATCAGAAGGTCATCATATCATCGTTATGGCAATACTCTACGGCATTGCATGTTTTTTTTTTTAATAAATGTAGTAGTAAATTAGAAACAAGCAGCCACAAACCGAGTTAGTTGCCGTAACATTGTGAGCAGGTGCAATCTTTAAAGATGAAGGACCAGGAAAAGTAAGAAAGTAACGTACAAGGTAAACATAACTATCAACTAGAGAAACGACATCAATATACAATTTAACCTTGTAACATGTTATAACTGAGTAGTTTGCACATTACATTACGGTAACGGTCAAATTGCATTCCCAGGTTATTCATTAAAATCACATAGCACAACATCACATTGCCGAACAAAACTGAAGCAAATTTCAATAATGATGCGCTGATGCACTTCCCTTATGCGCATTTCCAAACTGTGTACATTATTATTTTACCAAATTTTAAAATAATTGACTACATACCTACTGTACGTTTATAGAAAAAGTAACCTTTCAAAAATCTTTGTATGCCACAAACTAACAACCAAAGTCTTCACTGGGGTGATTCTCTCTGGTGAAGCAAACGAACTCTCTATGGTGCTCTCTAGTGATCACTCATACGCTCCGGTGTGTTGGATTGGTTGAGGTGCGAACGACAGAAAATGTGTTTGTTTGCGAAGTGGGAGAAACGGTAGAAAGTGAAAACAAAATAAAGATCTCTCGGGTGAGTTAGCTTTTGTCATAGTGCGAGGTGTCTTTTCAGCTCATCACCCTGCTCACACTGGAGAGAGTGGCATCGCTGTGTTTCGTCATTGATCAAAGTGTCTTGTGTTTCATCAAAACACGGTCGTACAAAAGCCTTGCACACTTTTTGGCCACGGAATTCTGCTTCATGTGCCGTTTCAGATGTTTGCTAGCTTTGTACGACTTGTATCCTTCCCTGGAAAGGATGTTCCGCACCGTTTGAAGGTTGGCGTTGTAACTTCTGGTGACATCTTGGATCGAAAGACGATCCCTGGTTCCAGTTTTTACGTAGGTCCACTGTTTCCTTTCCACACTCAGGGTTTCCTTGTAGGTTTTGTGCACTCGACAAACTGTTGTTTACGGCATTTTCAATACTTACAAGCCGGCTAGGAAACGGATAACTCCGGATTTTTCAGGTGTTTGTGCACAATATGTTTTCTTCTTTCGAGTTCCATTTGACGTTATTTCTGAACGCGATCGACTACTTTGATCAAACTTGCACCAGTTCTAGATAGAGCTAGAATTAGGGCGTAACAGCTTTTGTAAACAATGACTTCTCTCACGCCCACGCAAACTAACATAAACTCCGGGTAGAGGAAGTCGTTCCCTACCCGATAGTGATGTTGATTTGCGTTAGCGAGCCTTGATGTTCTAGAAATCAACTAAAGAAGTCATTGTTTACAAAGGCTGTTACGCTCTAATTCCAGCTCTATCTATAGAAGTGTCAAAGATTTTCTACTCCCAACACTAGAGGCGTGCTAGCGGCGCGCGAGGGGCGTACCAATTTAATTTTAGTCAACCTTTAAGTAGTTGAAATTGAATACAAGTATAACTAAATGCGTGGTAATTTCACGGAATCGAGTAAATGAAAACGTGTCCGTTTGTAATTGATGATGAGACTATTGATCGCGTTCGGGAGATTAAATATACTGGCGTGATTTTTTATGACGAACCTAAGTTCAACGCTCACATTAACAATTTCATCAAGAAATTGCCATGAAGTATGAAATATCATGTGGATTGAAAAACGATTTAACTATTACCAGTAAAATACAGCTCTACAAATCTGTTATGTCTCCTCATCTAGACTTTTGCCCTTGCATTTAACTTTTGGCCAATGAAACAAAAATATTGCGTTTGATTTTGAGATGTAATAGAATCACTTCCTCAACTTGGATTCTAGATAATTAAAAAAGGTTCACCGACAACCAATTACATATTTGACTATGGTGTTCATTTTTAAAGTAGTAAATGGTTCGCTGCCTCGATTTTTGTGTGATAAAATCGAAAAAGGAAGTGACTTTCATAAATATAATACTAGAAATAAGAACACCACATTTCTTGACTTGTGCTTCACTAAATTCATTATATTTTTAAGGAATAAATGTTTTCAATTCAATGCCTCGACATTTCAAACGTTCAGCAACACTTACAGAATTTAAGAAACACTGCATTTCACACGTTAAAACTGTGTTTTAAACAGTTATTCAGTGATTTTTTTTTCTGAATTGACAAATGTTGTACCTTGATAAAGTTATCTCTAATGAATTATTTTGTATGGATAATTGTCATAGCAACTTTTAAATAAATATTGTAGCACTGAAAACCATTGTTTGTTGCCACGACGGTGATGATGGATTTTTGATATTTGGTTTGATATTAGTTGTTGATTAAATAAAAATAAATGTGAGAACTATACAAAAGTTTGAGCCTCGCGCGCCTACTACGGATATAGTGGACTGAAATTAACACTGGACTTTGGGTCTTTGAAGCTTATTTGGAAGATAGTTTGAATTAGTAGTAAGTTTTCTGGGTGAATGTCGGGGGCTCTCTATGATATTTAACATCAAATTGCGGAGTTGCTACTGGACCTAATATGATACTTTGTTGATTATTCATGAACTCTTGATCGCTGGGAATGCTTGTAAATATTTGAGGTGGTCAAAAGGGTGAATAGGGAGGCGAACGCCTAAGCTTTTCACATTTATATCGCGGTGAAGCAACTGAGAAGTGTTGAGGGAATTTATATCTGTAACTATAACCAGTTCGTTTTCTTTGCTTATCTGGTCATACTTAATTATCTTAAAGAAAAATAGTCCAGCTCAAATATTGGTAGGGGTGAGAGGTCATGATTATTTAAATAAGCTGCAAAATAAATGCTTTCAAAACGACTAAATAGTGTTAAATTTGTAGAAATTCAAAAAAGTCACTTACACTCCAGTTATCCCAAATTGGTGTTCATAGATCACCAATAACGTTTATGTACTCCTGAAACTGCGTAGTTGTGATAAATGTCCTCCAACAAAACTTTACGGAAGCCATTTATCTTCGGTAATGGGCACATATTTGCTCAAGCACCAAAACATCAGGCACATGTTCTCCGAGGGAACACCACAATCATGAACAGAGCTATACATCATCAACAACTGCAGATTGCACACTCTACTATGGACATACATTAGCCGCATAGACACTCTCAGTCTGATTCTAGCCAGAAAGAACGTTTCGAGTTTCCATGAACGATACCGTGTTGAACTAAAGCAAGGCAACAGGAAAGACATGTGATATCTTCATGCGGCCATCTAGCAGACACTTCTACTCGTCCCTCGGATGAACGCTCAAGAAAGTGAATTTCCATTTTGGCCCAGTTTATTTACACATCACTTACTTTTCCAGCCAATGTGTGCTTCGGTCGGATTTTGCAACAATGGTGCTCGGAAGCATCCTTCCGGCGGTCAATGTGTGTGCCTCTCCCCCATGCTTCCTGCTTCCACTGTCCGGGGGAAGAATAGTAAAAGACAGTTTCCCACTGTGTAATTGATGAATATTAAAATGGAAAACCTATGCTGGCATTTCTGCACCATCACCGCCCGACCGAAGAACTCTGACTTCGATGTTGCTCCATGACACTGGCGATATGGTTGGATATGTTTACCACAGGTCGAAATGTAAAATGCAGCAACTGGGCGCAATGTGTACTTTTGGATAATGGAATTCGAAAGCAGAACATTGTATGAGTTTTGGAAAACCACAAAATGGAATGTTGAAATGTTGTGTACCGACGTTAACACAGATCAATTGTTTGGCTTTCAGTCAGTGTGCTTTGTGTGGGCACAATGAATTCTGTAGGTCACGTTTCAGTGGCAATCGGTCCGGCTGTTCGGATTCCCAACTATGCACATGATACGTTTAACGATTATTTGCGGGAAGTTTGTGGCTTTAGCCATCGACATAATTTGCTTGATATTGCTCGTTTGCGGGAAAAGTTTCCTGTTTAATTTAGAAAGCAAAATTCATGCATATCGAAATATGTAAGCGACTAAATCAACAGTACACTGCATATCAGTATGTATTCTAAAATCATATTGAACCACCACTTACCGACACTCCTTCTCCACCGACGGGGTGGACATCTGCGCCATTGCGTTCGCCTTTCGCGGTGTCATCGCCAGCAATGACCGCTCCGGGCTGTTGACTTCCACCGTCGAGGCCGCTCCCCTCGAGTCCATACTAGGCGTTTTGGAAATAGTTGAGGCACGTCTACTGCTGCTCTTGTTCAGCTTGGATGAGGCATTCGAAATGGTCGACGAGCGTCGGCTGTTGGCGAGCGGATTATGCTTCGGGCTGGCCGGTTCGTCCTTTTCTATCTTCGTCTGCCGGGATAGAACGTGCTTCCGGGCCGTGTCCGAGCGCTTCGTTCGGTCACGCATTTTGTGCACTATTGGCATGTCAGTCGGATGGCCATAGTGCATCGAACCGTGTGATCGGGTTTGGTTCAAATGTCTGTACACCGGACGAAATAAAAGAGCATATATGTACAAGGAAAATGTGAAAATGATGGAATTCCCATTGTGCTTTGTAATTGGATTTACTTTGGAAACGGTTCCGGTTCGTCGACCGACAGTGCTTGTCGATGGTAGTGAAGCATCGCTGGATGCAACAGGCTGCTGTTCGTTTCCCGCGTCGATCGATGGACCATGCTGCTGACACGTGATCCACGGTGATGTTTCACAGCCGAGCGCACCCCAGCCGGTGAACCGGAAACTGATGGAACGGTCAACTTGTCGTCGGATAAATTTGGCTCGGAACCACTGCGAGAAACTCGTCGACTTTCATGCGGCGACTGATGGGTGGCTTTGGGAGTCCTGTAACGGTAGAGATGTATGTGACGGATGAAAAATGTGCATTCGCTCAATCAACTCAGATAAATAAAATGAAACGATGGCAAGTTGCAGGTCTGTTATTAAAATTCAGGGTCTAGATGCAATTGTTTGCTAAGGTACTGGCAACAGAATTCATATAGGTAACATTTGTTCAGAAAACGATATGAAAGTTTTGCAGCATACTTTAAAGCGTGATTTATAAGAGTATAATGTAGTTATTTTAGTTGATTAAAATATAAAACTTAAAACTCATTAAATATTGCAAATGGTGGCCAGTTGTGCGGAAAGGGCCGAATTAATTAATGAAGTGGAATGGATACCAACAGAAAGATCAAAACCGTTAAGTAAGGATACCGGATACCTGACGGCAATTAATGATTATTAGAACCTTTAATTTCAAGGTTTGTAAGTGCCATGGTATTCTATATGATGGTATTATTATCGATCTTTAAACAAGTAAAATGATATTGGATGGGTAATTTACCATGATCTTTCGTCTAGATTGATTCGATTGGTAAACTTAAAATTACTTTTCTAACCTTTTTGTGTGTAGAACCAAATCATAACCAAAATTTTCGCAATCCAATGCTTTTAATAATTAGAATCAAATGTAATCCTTGAATTGGTGCTGTTTATTTGATATTTTGACCTATTTCATGAAGTTCTTCGCTATTTTCAGGTAGTTTTTTCACGCCAAAAAGTAATTTACTTCTAGTAGCATTTATTTGTGACATTATTGACTATATTGACTATAAGCACATGTGGAACTCGATCATCCAAAATCGACTCCATTTCAGTGATTTCAAGTTGTATAGAAAGACATAGATCTGTCAAATTGATTATACCAGTTATAAATGAGAAAGGGAATCAAGAGGGTAGTCAATTCTATTGAAATAATAATAGAGTGGTTTATAATTCTATGATTTCTCAGCACTTCTAAGCTCATGCCTTTGTTTATCGTGAACTATTTATGTTCTTTATTTATATCTATATAGCTGGATTTAACAAATTCATCCCCTTGCATCACACAGCTAACAAATAAATAAATGTTTTCATTTAAAAAAGTAGACTTTTTTCGCCGATACTTTATACAATGACCTGCCACCAACGTTAATATTAAAATGTCATTGTAAGTTGCCGTAACTGTTTACAGCCCAATTTTGAAAGTATTGTTTTTCTGTTGTTATGGCAGAAAAGTGAGGAAACTTCTCGCGAATACTTGTTTGATTCTTCTAATTCAATATTTTTGCAGGTATGTTTTTTCAATTAAATTTTGTAAACTTAAAAAAAGAATGTATGTACCATTTTTTTGTTAAACTTTTTCAAATCGTTTGATTTCATAGGAGGAAAAATACGACCGCGCAAACTAGGAGTTTACATCACATATTTTGAAGTCCAGAGCGAAGCAGCAAAATTTTGCAGCAAGTGGATCAGTTTAGGCGGAAAATATGCAATGCTCAAATATGCAGTGCTCAAATTCGAACACAAAGATCTATTCCTATTATTTTGTACTCGAAATCATGAAAAGATTGATCTAAAAGGCAAAGGAAGGGCTAAGGATTCTAACAAACTTTTTTCGACCACTATGGCTAAGATTACAGGCTGGGACTCCCAGGAACAGCTATTTTTTTCAACATAAGCACTATTTACAAACAAAAGTAATTGTTTAGATCTATTTTACGTAAAGTAACTGTACCAGTTTGGACATAGTGGTATAGTTTGTGACCCCAGGGCTTAAATCAAATTGGAAATAAAATTTCATGGTTATGACAAATGATATGTTCGAACACTGTATCGAAAAAAAAATGAAAATAATGTAAAAAATGGAAATTTAGGATAGGGCCAATTCGAGGACCGGGGCCTAATACTGGCATACTTACCCTAGTTTTATTTCTAGCGTTTTTGGAAAAAAAATCAAGTTTTTATTAAAGGTAACCGTTAATATCCATCAACAGAATAGTTCGTGCTGAAATCATAACATTCATAAGTAGACTTACTAAAAACACAATTCGTGACGTGACGTCGTCATTCGCTTGTTCATCAATATTTACAATTTTTTTTTTTTTTAACTCTTTATTTGTTCCAAATTCAAAATAAATTACATTTCATTTTTTAACCTAGGTGCTCCAGTTACTGCAGTAACGTACCAGCCTTAATTGTTATGATATATATCTAAGTGTTTTTACATTGTTCCTGTCTTGGCAATTCAGTATTTTAAACAGGTTTTTTAACCTGCATGTAAGTATAACAATTGATATCTTAAAACTAAAAACTAAAACTAAATCTCATCTAAGTATAAAGGAAATTAATCGTTGCAATTGAGGATTGCAACGATTTTTGCCTGAAATTACATTCGAAATTCTATGTACCTCGATAGTACTGTACCAGGGAGGCAACTTCAAAATCATTTTCAGAACTTTGTTCTGAATCCTTTGAAGTGATTTTTTCCTGGTAGTGCAACAACTAGACCATATTGACACAGCGTAAAGCATGGCCGGTCTAAAAACTTGTTTAAATATTAGAAGTTTATTCGTCAGGCAAAGTTTGGATTTCCTGTTTATAAGAGGATACAAACATTTAATATATTTGTTACATTTAGCTTGAATGCCCTCAATGTGATCTTTAAAAATTATTTTTTGGTCAAGTATTAATCCAAAATATTTCACTTGGTTTGACCAGGAAATTGGAACTCCGTTCATAGTGACTATGTGACTACTACTAGGTTTCAAAAACGAAGCTCTAGGCTTGTGTGGAAATATTATAAGTTGAGTTTTGGAAGCGTTGGGAGAAATCTTCCATTTTTGTAAATAAGAAGAGAAAATATCTAAACTTTTCTGCAGTCTGCTGCAAATAACACGAAGACTTCTTCCTTTAGCGGAAATGCCTGTGTCATCAGCGAACAAAGATTTGTGGCAACCCTGAGGAGGTCCGAAGTGAAAATGTTATAAAATATAGGCCCAAGAATGCTACCCTGAGGAACTCCTGCTCTAACAGGTAGTCGATTAGATATGGAATTTTGATAATTTACCTGCAGAGTTCTGTCAGTTAAATAATTTTGAACTAATTTCATAATATAAAGTGGAAAATTAAACTTTTTGAATTTAGCAATCAAACCTTCATGCCAAACACTGTCGAATGCTTTTTCTATGTCTAGAAGAGCAACTCCAGTTGAGTGGCCTTCCGATTTGTTTGAACGAATTAAATTGGTAACTCTTAAGAGTTGATGAGTAGTTGAATGCCCATGGCGAAATCCAAACTGCTCATCTGCAAAAATTGAGTTCGTATTGATGTGAAGCATCATTCTATTCAAAATTATCTTTTAAAAAAGTTTACTTATTGAAGAAAGCAAACTTATTGGGCGGTAGCTAGAAGCTTCAGCTGGATTTTTATCCGGCTTCAAAATTGGAACAACTTTTACATTTTCCATTTATCAGGAAAGTATGCGAAATGGAAACATCTGTTAAATAATTTTATCAAGAGAGACAAGGTACTCTCTGGGAGTTTTTTGATGAGGATATAGAAAATTCCATCATCACCTGGAGCTTTCATATTTTGAAACTTTTTAGTTATAGACCTTACTTCGTCCAAATCAGTCCCCCAGGAATCATCAAAAATATTTTCCCAAGAGAAACTATTCAGATAATCCCGAGCAACCTGATTCTCAATAGGACAAGTAAGACCCAAACTGAAATTATGGGAACTCTCGAATTGCTTAGCAAGTTTCTGAGCTTTTTCCAAATTTGTGATCAAAATGTTACCACCTTCTTTAAGCGCTGGAATAGGCTTTTGAGGTTTTTTCAAAATTTTTGTGAGTTTCCAAAAGGGTTTGGAACTCGGGTCTAATTTAGAAATATTATTTTCAAAAGTTCTGTTCCTCAGGGCAGAGAATCGCTTTTTAATTTGTTTTTGCAAATCCCGCCAGATAACCTTCATGGCAGGATCGCGTGTTCTTTGATATTGTCTCCTACGGACATTTTTAAGACGGATCAAGAGCTGAAGATCGTCGTGTATTATAATTGAATCGAATTTAACCTCGCATTTTGGTACTGAGGCAGCTCTTGCTGCAACTATAAAAGTAGTCAGAGATTCAAGAGCATAATTAATTTCATCTTTGGTTTGCAAAGGAATGTTTGGATCGAAGTTATATTCCATAAATGTTCGATACTGCTCCCAATCAGCTCTATGGTAATTGAAAGTAGAGCTGTTGGGATTAGAAATTATTTCTTGGGATATTTCAAAAGTTACTGGAAGGTGATCAGAACCGAAGTCAGCATGGTTAACCAATTGGCTACAAAGTTGACATGAACCAAATCAATAGTTGAGGGATTTCTTGCAGAAGAAAAGCATGTTGGGCTGTTTGGATATTGAATAGTGTAATAACCTGGCGAACAATCATCAAACAGAATATTACCATTGGAATTGCTTTGAGCATTATTCCATGAGCGGTGTTTTGCATTAAAATCACCAATAATGAAGAATTTAGACCTATGACGGGTAAGTTTCTGAAGGTCACCCTTGAGAAAATTCTTTTGCTGGCCTACGCATTGGAATGGCAAATAGGCAGCTATAAACGTGAGTTGTCCAAATTTTGTTTCAACAGAAACTCCCAAAGTTTCAAAAACTTTGGTTTCAAATGAAGAAAGAATTTTATGTTTGATTCGTCTATTAACAATGATGGCAACGCCACCACAGGGTCTATCAAGACGATCATTTCTATAAATTAAAAAATTTGAGTCCTTCTTAACCATATGCTCAGGTTTAAGGAACGTTTCAGTTATAACGGTAATATGCACGTTATGAACTCTCAAAAAGTTAAATAGCTCGTCTTCATTATCTTTAAGAGATCGAGCATTCGTTTAATGTTTTAAAATCAATTACTGAATTTTAAAGTCATGACAATATTATTAGCAAATTTTACTCCAGTTTGAATAGCATCAAACATGGAGTTAGATTTAAGCATATCAGAAATCATGTCAATTAAT